TAGGCCTCAGCCAAATTAATCAGGTTCACAGTGGAATGAAGTCTCAGTGGAGGTCTCAAAATATCTTCCTGGGATTTTCCAACATAGATGGTGTGGTGCAGCAGACATATTAGCATTTTGACTGAGTTGAGTACCCACAAATCAGCCAAGCATGCTTGAGCTCGCTCGTCATATATCTATTCTGCTCGATGGCCAAGCTCCGCCCCCTCCAAAAAAATATAGTTTTATTGAGAAAGAGTAAAAGACACCAGCAGAGGCCATATCAACATATAAGCATAGCATGATAGAGTATTCCACATTAAGAAAGGGATCAAAATAAGTCATATCAACATATAAATATAGCTTAAACAGTATTCCACTTTAAGTAAATAATGAAATACAGTGAGGGTTTAACAAATTTTATATATAATAATTTTTTTTTCACAAACTGAATAAAGGTCAATCTAAATGCAAAATTCACCATCCAAATTGAGATGGTGTTTTGTGACATTTTAATAAACAAATTGCAAAGAAAAAAACAACTAATTTCATTTAAGATAAATGTCTAAAATTATTCAAACATATAAATACTTAAAAAAATATATTTGATGTTAAAATAATGAATAAAAAAAAAAATAGACTCAACATATACAACACAACATAAAGAACCGCAAACAAAATGGACTAACGTATAAGGACTTTTTAAGAATTTATCTTTGTAAATAAATCTACTATTAATAAATCTGCTTTAAAGACCTCACGTATTTTGCATTTTCTAGATAAGTATAGTTTGCACTCATTTTCTCAACACAATTTCCCATTATATTATTTTTATGATCATGTAAATAAATGAGTTCTGGTCCTATTAAATGCATTCATAAACACTTTGCTTTGAGTTAGCCAAAGAATAATCAACAACTGTTCAGTATGCATTAAACATTAAAAGTGCACACACTCCAATAGATCTGAAAAGATTAATGACCTAACTGTCTTTCTGTTTTTTTTTTTTTTGGCAGCTCTAATGCAATTGTGTATTTTTATTTCAAGGATTATTACAATTGCATTTCCTTAATTTAACATTATTTGTATGTAACTAATTACAATGCCAGAAGCTAGACTTCTACATATCATGAAATAGCATCTGTTGTATTAAGATAGAGATGCCATTTTAAAGTGGGAAGCCTTGGTGAAAGAGGCAAAAACTTTGAAGAAAGGCGCAGTGACATCACAAGGCATAATGTAAATTCTGACATTATCATTCCAAGTTCCAGAACACAGAACTAAATAAAGTAGCACCAAGTCAGCACTCCTCCAAGAATGACCACAGACTGGATAGGATGTTTGAGAACACATGGCAGGGGAGACAGATCTTTCCTTGCATAAGTATGCATGATGTCCTTGGATACTTTAATATAAGTGGACAAAAGACTTTCTCTGAGAGCTATGCACTAACTTTTCTTTGCAAACAGAGAGTAAATTGTTCAAAAGAAATGGCCATCCATGATATGTCTGCCTAGTGAGAAAATTGAAAGTTACTGGATTCCTACATACCTCTAACCCAATACATACTATATTGAGGAAAATTATTGGAATTATTAATAGTTTGATACTTAGTGATCCCTATGTCAGTTTCATTTCATTATTATTATTGCATTTGACCTGATTTTTGCTGCAAGAATGTTACTATATACAATATTCTAATTACTGTGCATTATAATATACTGCTTATAGTGGAAGACTGGGGCTAAGAAGCTAGCTTCTATATTATACTTGATATACCGACATATCCTTCCATATAATTGGATATAAACATTGAAAGCAGAAGTAAATCAGATTTATTGCTGCAGGATTGTTATGTTCATTTTGATTCACCTATTCAGATCTGAAATAATTGCCCTGATATAACAGCATTTATGGTGAGGCTTTTAAAAGAATTCTGTAAACCCACAGTTGAAGGCTTATTATGGGCTCCATCTGTGCTTGTAAACCGTTGTGGTGTGAAGGCAAACCCTGTATAGGGCTAAAGGTGTCTAAGTTGTATATTAATATATTGTGTGCAGCTGAAAATCAAGGTTGAAGAGGCTGTTGAAGATGGCACCAAAAAGGGATAAACATCAAACTTCAAACAGATCAATCAACCTGTTCTGCTCACCGAGAGCCAAAGTTTAATAAATGAAAGCAATGGGAGATCATCTATTATAGAAGAGAGAGACCCTAAGCTGCTCCTCAGAGGCAACAATAGAAGATCAATTTCATGATCAGATCACACATGAAGAAACTGCGGAAATGCCGGATAATCACTTTTTACAGATAGAGAGATTTTGAAGATAACACAATGAGCTAAGAGGCAAAATTTCACAGTTTTCAGAAACACTGGATTCATAAAATAATGTACTACATAAAATACAAGTATATTAAAAAAGCCTACAAGAAAACAACAATATTTTGCAAAATAAAATCAGGTCCAAAGTAGCAGATTTGGAGAACCAGTCAAGGAGGAAAAATATTTGTGTACGACAGGGGTAGTCAACCTTTTTATATCTACTGCCCACTAATGCATCTTTCTTGATGGAAAAATTTCCTTACCGCCCACCATTTTTCGGGGCTTTTTTTAGCGCAAGTGCAGAATATTTTTTTAGAAAGGAGGATGTTTACATTTTCTTTTACTTAAATGTATCTTTTTATTTCTACTTTATGCATGTTTATAATGTTTTTAACTTGATAACGTTTAATGAGAAAAAATAAAGTAAATTGAAGTTACCTTTAACTAGTGATTCATTTTCTTTAATCTCTCCTTCTCCTTCCTTTACTTCTTTCTTTTAATTTTACAAGTAAACAAAACTTAGCTTGTCAAAACATGAGCCACTTTACACTCTATGCTTCTGCCTGTCTCTGCTTTCTCACCTGTGCATCAGCTACCCTCCTCAAGTTTTCCCTCCTTTTTTCCCCTTTTTTCTGTTTTCTTTCTTCCTTTTTCTCTCTTTTTCATTTATTCTTTTACCTTCCTCATATCAATGCTCAGCAGGAAGGCCGAGCTAGGTAGCCCACTTCTTATTATTAGCCAGCAACAATTCTCTCCTTCCTATATTTTTATTTCCCCTCTTTCTCCTATTCTACACATACTCTGCTCTTTCTTTCTTATATTCTACAAGTACTCTGCTCCTTCTTTCTCCTTTTTTACAAGTACTCCACTCCCTGCTTTTGTGTTTCCCCCTACTCCAACTCCTCCCCTTCCTCTACGCGTGTGTTATACTCATTCGTGCGTGCATTCTTACAAGCGCTCACAGACGTGCAAATTTGTGCATTCGCCTCTGCACGCCCGCACTTTCTGCTAACCACTGAGTAGGCAAGAGATGAATAGAGCATTCATCTCTCTGGATGGAGGGGGGATTCTGCTTGTTCCGTAGAACCCACTACAGCCCACCTGGAATCCTGAAATGCCCACAAGTGGGCGGTAGGGATCAAGTTGACGACTCATGGTGTAAGAGGAATACCTGAAACAGTGAAAAGAGATGATTTTGAAAAATATCTAAAGGATCTATTTTCAACATATCTCGGTCCACAGCAATAGATATCCTAGAGTTTGTAAGCTAAATTTAGAGAGTTCTATCCCTAAAGTTTGATTCAGTAACTGCAGGGGCGGACTGACCACTCGGGCATATCAGTCATGGACCGAGGGCCCGAGACAGCCAGGGGCCCAGCCGCACAGCCGTGCTCCAGCTGGAGAGATCAGAGATCAGACTGAGCAAAGAGAAAGGTAGGCACTAGTCACCCCCCCGTCACGGTGTCACGAGTCACCCCCCCTCACTGTGTCACTAGTCACCCCCTCACTGTTTAACTAGTCACCCCCCACTGTGTCACTAGTCACCCCCCACTGTGTCACTAGTCACCACCCCCCCACAGTGTCACTAGTCACCCCCTCCCTCTGTGTTACTAGTCACCTCCGTCACTAGTCACCCCCTCCCTCTGTCACTAGTCACCCCCCCACTCTGTCACTCCAATGTCTGGAGTATCAGTCCGCACTGAGGTTGTATATTCCCGGTAGGTATTCCGCTCGTAGTGTGATATTGTGAGAGAGGCAGAAGCTGTATATGTCCTTGGTCACCTTTGATAGAGCCTGCGAACAAGCTCCTCCCAGGCGGTTGATATACTGGACCGCAGAAATGTTGTCCATGCGGAGTAGTATGAAAGCGTTGGACATGTGACTGTCCGTGCTGCAGATGGCGAAGGAGCCTGCTATCAACTCCAGACAGTTGATGTGCAGGTCCATTTCCTCTTCTAACCAAGGACCGCCTGTCGCCTGAGCACGTGGTGTGGAGAGGCCCGCTCGTTGGTGACAGAGTGAGGGAGGGAAGTGGTGACTAGTGAGAGTGAGGAAGGGGGTGACTAGTGACAGAGTGAGGGAGGTGGGGACTGTCACTAGTCACCCCATCCCTCCATCTGTCACTAGTCACCACCTCCCTCCCTCTGTCACTGTGTCACACCCGCCCTCTGTCACTAGTCACCAACTCCCTCACTCTGACACTGTGTCACCCCCCTCTGTCACTAGTCACCCCCTCCCTCCCTCACTCTGTCACTAGTCACCCCATCCCTCCCTCACTCTGTCACTAGTCACCCCTTCCCTCCCTTACTCTGTCGCTAGTCACCCCTTCCGTCACTTATTCTGTCGCTAGTCATCCCTTCCGTCACTTACTCTGTCACTAGTCACCCACTCTGTCACTGCTCATCCCCTCCCTCTGTCACTAGTCACCCCTCCCTCCCTCTGTCACTAGTCACCACTCCCTCACTCTGTCACTAGTCACTCATTCCCTCCCTCACTCTGTCTCTAGTCACCCCTCCCTCTGTCACTAGTCACTCATTCCTTCACTCTGTTACTAGTCACCCCCTCCCTGTCACTAGTCACACTCTCCCTCACTCTGTCACTAGAGTGAGGGGATGACTGGTGACAGAGTGAGGGAAGGGGTGACTAGTGGCAGAGTGAGGGAAGGAAGGGGTGACTAGTGGCAGAGTGAGGGGATGACGAGGGGCAGAGTGAGGGGAATGACTAGTGGGAGAGGGAGGGAGGGAGGTGGTGACTAGTCACCCCTTCCTTCCCTCCCTCTTTCACTAGTCACCCCTTCCTTCCCTCCCTCGCTAGTCACCCCTTCCCTCCCTCCCTCTTTCACTAGTCACCCTTTCCCTCCCTCACTCTTTCACTAGTCACCCCTCCCTCACTCTTTCACTAGTCACCACTCCCTCACTCTTTCACTAGTCACCCCCTCACTCTAGTGACAGAGTGAGGGAGGGAAGTGGTGACTAGTGAGAGTGAGGAAGGGGGTGATTAGTGACAGAGTGAGGGAGGTGGGGACTGTCACTAGTCACCCCATCCCTCCCTCTGTCACTAGTCACCACCTCCCTCACTCTGTCACTGTGTCACCCACTCCCTCTGTCACTGTGTCACCCACTCCCTCTGTCACTAGTCACCCACTCCCTCCCTCTGTCACCAGTCATCCCCTCACTCTGTCACTAGTCATCCCCTCACTCTGTCACTAGTCACTAGTCACCCCCTCCATCACTCTGTCACTAGTCACCCACTCATTCTGTCACTAGAGTGAGTGGGTGACTAGTGACAGAGTGAGGGAGGGGATGACCAGTGACAGAAGGGGTGACTAGTGACAGAGTGAGGGAGGTGGTGACTAGTGACAATCACTCTGTCACTGTGTCACCACCTCCCTCTGTCACCCATCAGGGAGGGTGAGGGAATTTTCAGTAAAGATGTCACAAAATTGCTTCTATTAAAGGAACACAATAGTCACCTAAACAACTTTAGCTTAATGAATCAGTTTTTGTGTGTAGATCATGCTTCTCAGGTTTCACTTCTCTATTCACTGCCATTGAGGAGTTAAATAACTTTTATTCTGTTTATGCAGTCCTTGTCACACCTCCCCTGACTGATTGACACAGCCTGCATGAAAAAAATTGTTTCACTTTCAATCAGATGTAATCTACCTTAAACAATTGTATCTCTTTGTCTGTAAGTGAAACTTTAATCACATTCAGGAGGCTCTTGCATGGTATAGCAAGCTATTAACATAGCAGGGGATAAGAAAATCTAAATTAAACAGAACTTGCAATAAAGGAAGGATAAACTGTAGATAACTCTTTACAGGAAGTGTTTAGGGAGGCTGTGCAAGTCACATGCAGGGAGGTGTGACTAGGGTTCATAAACAAAGTTATTTAACTAACAAATGGCACAAAATTGAGCAGTGAGACTGCAGGGGCATGATCTATACACCAAAACTGCTTCATTAAGCTAAAGTTGTTTTGGTGACTATAGTGTCCCTTTAAAGGACCACTATAGGCACCCAGACCACTTCAGCTTAATAAAGTGGTCTGGGTGCCAGGTCCATCTAGGTTTAACCCTTTTTGCTGTAAACATAGCAGTTTCAGAGAAACTGCTATGTTTCCCTATGGGTTAATCCAACCTCTAGTGGCTGTCTCATTGACAGCCGCTAGAGGCGCTTCCGCGCGTCTCACTGTGATTTTCACAGTGAGAAGACGCCAGCGTCCATAGGAAAGCATTGAAAATGCTTTCCTATGGATTGGCTGAATGCACGCACGGCTCTTGCCGCGCATGTGCATTCAGCCGATGACGGCGAAAAGTGGTCCTTTAATGTTGAAGGCTTAAACTCTCCAGAAAAAAAGAGTTTGTTTATATAATTTATTAATATAAAAATGGGATTGACATAGGATTTACACAAGATATCCATTGGATAGTACCAGCTAAAAACCTCTAGAATATTAATAAATTACGGTGACCATCCTAGTGTTAAATAAGGTTAAATTTGAACATATCTATTATGATGGTGAGAAAAAGGTAGGTTTAAAATTTTGATAGCTAAAATGAATAATATAACTGACACCTTTGTGAATCTCTATGCCCCTAATCAAGCCCCTAAAACGTTTTTAGATAAACTTATTTTTACAGTAGATAACAACTTGCTTCCTAATTTTTGGAAGATATTTTAATAGTGTAATCAATCCGAGGATTGACAGAAGGAAAACACAAAAGGCATAGTATAATCAATCTTCAATCTAAAGCTATACAAAATGTTTTGTTAAAGAATTTACTGAACGATTGCTGGAGGATTCAACACCCTACAGATCAGGATTACTCATTAATTTCTAAAGTTCAAACATTTTCTCAAATTGATTTTTTTTTTTTTTATCTATGGCCCATCTTCTGGAATTTATCTTAAGATTACAAATTGGTTCTATCACGTTTGGACCATATACCAATCTTTTTGGAAATCAAGAATAGTCCACACTATCAACTCAGAAATAGATTGAGGCTAGATTGTTGACTCAAGCATGTAATTTCATGGAAATAAATGATAATGGCAAAGTCTCAGTAACAACCTTATGGTGTGCTTTTAAATGTATAATATGTGGATGTTTTAAATTAACATAAACACTTTGGAAAGAAAGAGAAGGGGTTGGACATTGGACCTGAGTACCTTATCAGAGATTAGAAAGATTAGAGAACACATTTTTGAAAGATCATATGAAAAGATAAATAGAGCCATACTAGCATTAAACAGAAATGGTATCATAATAAGAATAAAATAGGCAGATATTTAACTAATAAATTAAAGAATAAGTAAAAAAATTGTTATTAAACATTTATAGTAGGGAATAATACCTACCAATCCCCTAATCAGATTAGTAATGGATTTAGATAATATTACATGTTGTAGGTTGGGGAGGTGCCTCTGTGCTTTTTTAGATAAGCTGAATCTCCCAAAGATATAAGTGGACAAATTAGAAACTTTAAATAACCCTTTTAGCGTAATAGAAATTGGAGATACTATTAGGAAACTCAAAACAGGGAAGGCCCCAGGCCTTTACGCTAAATTCAAAGCATTGATCTCATCACTCCTCTTGATGTTTTTTTCAGATATCACTAAGAAAAAAGAGATAGAGGAAGAGCTGCCAAGCCTGATAAGGAATCTAATTATAGACCTACAGTGTATCTCTCATAAATATAGATGTAAATTTTCTTTTTTTAAATACTGGCAGAAAGACAACTCTATTCTTTATTATTATTATTATTTATCAAGATCAGTCTAGGTTTGTTCAAGGCAAAAGTGCGGGCTATAATGTAAGGAGAATATGTAATCTCACACATAATATTAATGTCCATCATACCGGTACAGTTTTGACAATCTTTGTTTGTATTGAGGCATTGATTTAACAGGAATTACAATGGTACAAATGTGACAGTTTAAAATATGAGCAGTAATGTGACATCTCTTGAGGAAGGACACATGTCAAATAACTTTACATACGCAGAACATCATATAGTTGTAATACTGTTTTCTTATCTGTAACCTAATTATTCTGTAAAGGTTTTTTTTTTTCCATTCCTCCTGTTCAACAAAAATATTTGTTTTTGTTTCCATTAAATAATGTGCTTCCTATGCACACTGAAACAAAAACAGAAACAAAAAAAATCATTTAACCATTACTTTTCAGGACATCCAAAATACTCAAATAGTGGAGTTGTAAACCACTTGGTAGTGAATGTGTTAAGGGAGCTACCTACTAAACAACTCCCTAATTTTGCATACTTAAATATGGCATCAGCCATAAGGGTACCAATTCAGGGAAGTATCTACTAAACAGCTGAAAGACTTTTCTTAATTTTCATCTTTTGGCTGTTTAGCAGATAGCTCCCTAATTAGGATTGCCATATTTAAAGATTCTGAATAAAGGAGGCATCTACTAAATGGCTCCTTAATTTGGTATCCATAAATATAGCAATGTAACATAAGGATATCAAATTAGGGCACTATCTACTAAACAGCTGAGTGAGACAAATTTTAAAAAAGCTTGAATGCAAAATTTGATTCTTCCAAAAAAAAAAAAAATAATAAGTTGTTGGATGTGCACCAGAGAAAATTTTGTTTTGTACAAATTAATTCGTACTAAATAAAAATGTAATTTGGTAAAAAATTATTTGTTTTCGTCCATTAGGACGAAAATAACACTACGCATGTGCAAAAAAAATAAATAAAATAAAAGGGAGGGAGGGAGCCGGCAGTGCTACCAGCTCCCTCTTTGTAATAAATATTAACAATTCCTACCCCCTGTGCATTAAACCCTACGGGGGTCACATAATAGTATTTAGATTTAAAAAAAAAAAGAAAAAGTTAAAATTCTTAACAATACATGGTTTTTACAATGAGGAATTTGAATGTAAAACATTAACTTAAAAAAATCATGAATTATTCAAAAGATAGAACAGTGTGGATAGGTAAACATCAGTGAGGATTTCTACATTTAATTTTATTTTTCACAAGCAAATATTTGCTAATATAGAGAATACAATTAAACATCCCAGGAAGTTACAATTCAATTGTAATGCACCCTAGGATATATCACAGCTTTTGTAAATAAAAATAATCATTGATTGCAAATGATAATTTTAATTGATACTTTAAAGAAAAAGAAAAATATCAGACATTTTCAATATTATAGCAATAGCAGCCCATGTGTAGTAACAGACAACATGTAAAAAAGAATTGTATTTTAAGGTATAGTGCTGTCAGTAATAGTGATGTCGCGAACTGTTCGCGAACTTGCCGCTTCAACATGGATGCTGTCCAGGAGGTGGGAGGGTCTGGGAGGGAGGGTCTGCCGGAGATTGGAAGGGATGTGTCAGCTGACCGGAGTTCGCCACGAACCGGTTCGCGACATCACTAGTCAGTAATAATATTCTCTGGTATAATTTTGTTAGCTCTGTTCTAAAAATTATATTAATAGATAGATACAGTAATAATGTTCTGGTTGATACAGGGAAGACAGGATGAAAATTATATACTTTTTAAATGCTAAATAATGACTGATGCTGTCAGTGTTTGTTTAAACATCTGGCCTTGCTGATCACCAGAATTTCTGGCCTTATGGTTTTATCCAGACTGTACCATGGCCCGAGATCTTGGGGAAACTCAATGAGAGACCAGGAGACGGTTAAAAAAAAATATTCGATGTTTACTGAACAGAACAAAGGTTATAAGGCAAGATGCAATAAAGGGGATGATAGGGTGAGTTTAATTAATTATAATATAAAATAGATAACTGGTAAAAAACAAGAAAAAAACAGAGCAAAGTATACATTGAAATAAGTATGGATGTATGGCGCAAATCTGTTTTTCCTTGTTTTCTACCTATTGTTTTCCCTTGGATTGTTAGGGTATCCAATTAACAAAGTCTGCTGCAATTTTAGTGAGTGCTGTATCGCCCTCTCTTTGTTAAAATATTGACAACTATTAACTAACAGCAGGAAAAGCTTGTGACAACAACATGGTAAAGGCATGCAGCCATTCAGAGCTATATACGCTTATCTAAAGGGCATGTAACAGCTGGGATCTTGCAATGCACAAGGTTGTTAGCTTGTGATTCTTTTTAACCCTTTTAGTATTCAATTTTTAAAAAAATCCTGTTTAGATTTTTTTTCTCTCGTATTTTAAATGTAAGAAATATAGCGTTCCACCCTCTGGTTTCTTCTATTGATGATATCAGACTGTCAATTCAGAACAATATATATATATATATATATATATATATATATATATATAAAAAGAAATACAGATTTTTGTCTATTCTGATCTAAATAATGAGAAATATGTACTGTTAGTTACTGAGGGAAAAAGTTAAAAAGAAAAGAAAGAAATGTAATACTATAAATACTTGTAAATCTTCATGATTACTTTGGAGCTAGTAGATATGATTAAAGTGGGTTTGGAATGAATTGGGATAGGAAAAGATTTATCTAGTTTGACACAGTGACATAGTTACACTGTATTAACACTGTCTGCTGATTCACAACTGTATGCATCACTAGCTAACTAGCAATAGATGACTAGTGACATTATTGGGAAGATTTATTAATTTAGTTATTGCTGCAGAGTATTTTAGGACAGAAACTAAAAAATACCACAGTGATCAGCATCCCTGTATATTACAGTACCCCCTAAGGAGGTCAGCTTCCCTAGCCTTTACACTGAACGGAAAACATATGGTGAAGAAGGCAGATGCAGTGAGTCAGGATTAGTCATTAAACTGTGAAGTGTTGATAATAGACCAAAAAGATTGAGGTCATTTTAGGTTAAAATAGCAAAACTTTTTTCAACACACCCATTTTTCCATATTGTCTTTTTGGCATAAATTTTGCAATTCCATCAATAAGTTCAGCACATAATCCGGCCTAGTTGATATTTGCGTTCCTGTGAAATGTGCATTACCCCTGGATTTCCTGATTATTTAAGGTAATCTTTGTTGATATGAGTAATGACAGCTGGTGAAGTTTCAAGATGATAGGGCGCTGTTCCTTGAAATTAACCTTATGTATTCATCAGCTGATTGCTTTCAGCCAATAAGCTTAGACCTGCCCTGCACCAGCACCTTAGCTCAGGCAGAGCTTCTGGCTTTTCATCCACAGAAGCGGCACCTATAGGCAGGGCCGGACTGGGGATACAAAGCAGCCCTGGAAAAAAAAATTGTGCCAGCCCCATAAGTCACTGCGCCATATATTGTCGCATGTAATATGTAAGGCTATGTCTTGCCAGGACAGATGATTGAGTAATATATATATATATATATATTGCTTTTTCTAATAAAAAATATTGGTCCTTTCAGGGTAAAACGTTTAATTATACAGTAAGCATACGCACATGCAGACACAGGCAATTTCACTGACATTTCAGTGACACACACAAGCTCATTGATACACAGCCTCATTGACATAAAAACACAAGCTCACTCACTAGCAGGCACACGCATGCAAGCAAGCTCACTCACTAGAAGACACACACACAGCTTAATGTAGTGGTACTGGTGTCTATAGCATGTCCCTACAGGCTTTTCAACGTAAACACTGACTTTTCAGAGAAAAGGCAGTGTTTACATTGCTTCAAAGTGACACTGCTGGTGACAGTCACTCAGACGGTCACTAGAGGTGCTTCCTGTGTTAGTGCCCTCCCGCCCTCGCGCGTTGCTGAATGAGACCGGCCGCCAAAAGACCTCCCCAGCGGCCAGGGGAGGGCTGGCAGCCTTAGGCCTCATTGATACACAGCCTCATTGACATAAAAACACAAGCTCACTCACTAGCAGGCACACACATGCAAGCAAGCTCACTCACTAGCAGACGCACACACACAGCTTAATGTGGTGGTACTGGTGTCTATAGCATGTCCCTACAGGCTTTTCAACGTAAACACTGACTTTTCAGACAAAAGGCAGTGTTTACATTGCTTCAAAGTGACACTGCTGGTGACAGTCACTCAGACGGTCACTAGAGGTGCTTCCTGTGTTAGTGCCCTCCCGCCCTCGCGCGTTGCTGAATGAGACCGGCCGCCAAAAGACCTCCCCAGCGGCCAGGGGAGGGCTGGCAGCCTTAGGCCTGGGGGGCAAAACCAGTCAAGTGGCCCATTGCACCACCAAATCAGTTCACCATCCATGCCCACCTTTTCCTGGTTTTATAACGGATATTGATGTTATGCTAATCAGTAGTTCTTTGCCATACCCGCTCTTTCACGGCTCCAGGCACTGCTTGCTGTGAGTGTGAGCCACTGTAAATTAGGGGCAGAGGGCACTTGCACTGCGGTAAAGACGGGGCTGGGCAGGAGGAGAGTGCAGTGCAATCAGTGCACTCCCCTCCTGTGGGTCACCAGTAGACTGGTGCACCTGCCCAGGATCAGAGCCGGTGCAAGGATTTTTGCCGCCCTAGACAAAATAAAATTTTGCTGCCCCCACATGTCACATCACAATGCCCCACCCATATGATCTGCCATATGAACTAACGCCAGTGCTGCACACAGTGTGTGTTTACATTAAAAAGCCTGCAGGGACCAGCTATAGACACCAGAACCACTTCATTAAGCTATAGTGTCCCTTTAATGTGAGGTAAATTATAGATTAGTGTCACTAATAATATACTAGATTGCCTACTTACAAGCAGATGAGGATGATGATGGGCTGCAGTTTGGCTCCACTGGTCTGGTGTAGAACAGGATCTCTGGAGGCTGTTTGCAACTGTGGTCACAAAATTCAATGTTCTGGGAGAATTGGAAGCAGCTCAATTTTTTGGGGGGCCCCTTACACAGCTCAAGGTCTGGGCCCCAGGGCCTGATGGTGAGTATGCCTATAAGGCCCACTCATAAGTTCCACCCACCCATGAGTTCTCTCACAGGGAGTGAAGTGTGTAGGGGATGTGTTATGTGTTATTGTAGAGGATCTAATATGTGTGCTTATGGTATGTAGTGTTTAGGGTTACCAGTTTGTGCAGGTGATGCAGTGTGTTTGTGTGTAGTGGAAGCGGTGTGTATTTGTGTATAAGGGATGTATTATGTGTTTCTGGTTGTGTGTAAGGGATGCATTGTGTGAATCTTTGTTTGTATGCATAAGGGATGCAAGGTGTGTGTCTGTATGTGTGTGCATGAGATGCATTGTGTTTCTGTGTGTATGTAAGAAAAGAAGTGTGTGTGTGTTTGCATGCATGTGTACGGGTTTGCATTGTCTGTTTCTGTGTATGTGTACAAAGGATGCATTGTCTTTGTGTGTAAGGGTTGCATTGTGTGTGTGTGTGTAATGGATGCATTGTGTGTTTCTCTGTGTGTAAGGGAAGCATGTTGTGTTTCTGTGTATGTATAGGGATGCATTGTGTGTGTGTGCGCACGTAGTGTGAAAGAGCTCCCTGTCTTGGCCCCTGTCCTATAGAGCTGCCCCTTCTTCTTATTCCC